AACACATACTGTACTAAAATATTGTTTTTTTGTAGTAATTATTATTTTAACAGATTCGTTGCCATGATTGTTGGTAATATCTGTATATTAGTCGATAGAATTCGCTCTTACTCGATCGATTAGTGAGCCCTACATAATCAGCTCTACTGGAAGTGTCTTCCACTTAACATATTATTGTTGAAATGAAAAATAAATAAATAACACAGGGTTGCTTTGGACATACACGTGTATTCTCATCTACTTTCCATTAATTGAATGTTCATAGACATTCCAATTATGTGTGAAATCTGTATGAAACCCAGATCCTTTCAAAGAAACCGCTAACGAGCTTACTATAAATTGGGACCCAAACACTACGGTACATAACTACGAATGACATCGATAACCCAATCATAGATACTATTGAGTCGTGGCCCAACAAACTAATGAAGTATGGTTCTTCTATACATAATTGGATACGTGGTAAGCTAGATCTAGAGACTCGAAGTGTAATGCACGTGCGGAACTATTATTATCTGTTCGGTTGGTTGTCGGTTCTCGGGAATAAATAAATTAGACTCAGTTAATTTAGCGAAAAAAACCTTAATAGGCATAAATTGATTGGAAAACAATCGAATGTTTTTTCATTACAGTTTGCTATCAATAATTTTATCATTATTGTATTTATCATTATTATCCTTATTATTACTATTAGGCCTATTAATATAATACATTTTGATATTATTTGTATTACTACATACAGTACCTTTCGAAATTGTTATTGTCATTATTTATTATTATTATTATTCTTATTATGTTTATTATTATTATTATTATTATTATTATTATTATTATTATTCTCATTATTATTATTATTATCATTATCATTACTATCATTATTATCATTATCATTATTATCATTATTATTATTATTATTATTATTATTGTTATTATTAGTTAGGCTTATTGTCATTATTGTAATTGTTACTGTATTTATCAGTATAGTCATAATTCTATTACTTACAACTATCATCAAATTTAGGTCTAGACCTATACTACATTAGATCGTTTTATTTAAAATGTGTTATATTTCATATTATTAACCTATTGCTATCATAGTGATTATCATAGTTATTACTAATATCACGATAAAACAATTGTTTTCTTTGATATCATTGTTATTGAGCTTTATGTTATAACTTTCATAATTTTGATATAAAAAATATACTAACATCTTAAAAAAATAGTAGGCATACTTATCTAATTTCAGTGGTTATCGTATACGCAATATTTAGTTAGTATGTTAGTCTATCTTATTTTTTATAGTGTCCGAAATTTAATCGAATGTAATTGAATGGTGTCTATGTTGGCGTGTTAAATTTAATGCAATGGTGTAGGCCTAGGTTTTTATACTACAATTTTACAAGGAAACCTGCAATGCTGCCTGACAGAGTGGCTCAGTTCACTTTTAGATGGCACTGTTTTTGCCTGTTCTTTTTTTTTTTCATTAAATAATCATTAATGCTATAGGATACAGTGTTGTCATTTATCTAATTCTTTAGCCTCAGGAAAGGTTTTGGGATTTCTAAAGAAGCTATGGATTATCGGACTCGACGGACCAGAAGTCTCAATTAAATCACAAATTGGCCAGGCCTAGCCTTATAATAAACATAGAATTATCAATTAATAGGCCTACATGTATATAATATATGTCTATATATACATACATATATATACATATATATATATATTTACATATATATATGTATGTATATGTATTCATATAGGCCTATATATATTATTATATACGGTATATACTGTATATATAAACAAATAGATAAATAATAAAAGTGCTCAAATGATGTTACAATCGTATCAAGCATAGCCCTTCAACGAAAAGTTCCTTCAGTTCGATGAAAAAAGTGTTTCTAAAGGGATATGAACCCGCAATCTTTCTCTACAGGCCTATATATAAACAGAAAATAGTAGTAGTAGTACTAATATTATCATAATTTATAGCTACCATTGAATATAGGCCTATTATAATTATTATTATTATGTTATTGTTTTTGTGTGTGATTATCATTTGTTGTATTGTGACTGCGCTTTCATTTAAATAGTAAAATATCGAAATTATAGGCTTATAGTACCGGTATACAGACATAGCTATATTATATATATGCCTATAAACATATCAGCAAACAATACCCTTTATCAAAAATTGTGGTAAAAGAATGGTACCGTAAACAGTACTGTATGCATAGGCCAATACCGTTATGATATTGAAAGCGAAAAAAAAAGATCGTAAACGAAATTACACATTTATAAGTTATGCATAGTAATTTAATTAGCATATAAATAAACGAAATAAATATTAACGATTTATAAACACCAGACAGATACAAAACGAAGTAGGCATATCTACCGAAACAATATTAATTTAGCCAAGTATACTCTTGTCAAATAAAGATCGAATTTTATTAATAAATACAACATGTATAATATAAAATCAAACGCTAACATAAAAAGATAGATCTATTTACGCCTGTATTCTCTTTCAATTAACTTATTATAAGTATAAAATATAGAAAAGCAGTTTACCGATTTTCACTATACGATATCATAGCGTAAGGCGCTTTTACACGACAGTCAGTCAAACCATTAGTTTACCACGGTATTTCTTTGCTCTATGGTACTATTACATAGCTGCAGCATCCGTAAGCATGCGTGTGGCATAAAGTTAGGCTGATTCCTGCAGAAGCCGTTCGCGGTAGAACATTCATTGAAATCGATTTCTATTTCTCAACACTAGTCTCTACGTACTTTGGCTATTCAAACTACGGTAGCGGCTTTAATGTTGTCTACGCCTAGATAATGTAGCAATTCTCTCATGTCGGAGTAAAATGTATAATTTGGGAGTAAATGAAAATTAAAAAGCTACCGAACTTGAAAATATTCGTTAATAAATAATTATTATTTAAAAAAATCGATAATCAAGCAAATAATATGTTAAATCAATACGGTATATACAACAACACTTCTATTTCTAAATATTTAATTCATCTAATAATTATTTGGAAAAATACAAATAGGCCTAGGCCTATATTGGATCGAATTAAACAAATTTTGCTAATTTTATTTAATTCAAATGGGGTAGATTTTATTTTAATTAAACAGCCCAGAATATCAAAATATTTACATCCAGAATATTTAGAAGATTTAAAATGTTGGCTGCCTTATCATACGGCAGATTATAAATATGATGAATACGAAACAACTTTGAAACTTTAATATTCATTGACAGGCATGGTGAATAAACAATACGTTTTTAATTTATAAACACTTTATATATTATATTGTTATGTATTGTAAAATACTCTCATATAATAAAAAAAGAATTACTTTAACACATTACACAACCGGGATTAACTAAAATAATTTGTTTAATCAATAACGCCATGGACACTCTTTCATTGAAAACAATCCGACGGCTTTTTATATATGAAAACACAATACATTTTAAATACACTTTAATTAAAAATAATTATGCATTAAAAGGTGAATTGTTCTTTAAAATTCTTGTTAATGTCACTGTTCTGTTGAAACTGCAGTTACAATGTGTACGCTCAATGTACAATGCCCAAAGTTGGTGAAATGTACGCTATTAATTATTTTGTTGAAGCTGCCGATACAACGTTATTCATATTCAGATCGTTTGGGAACAAACACATCTAGGTCTTGCGTGTGTCTTTTCATGAATATTATTTCTATACTTTAGATTTCATACACAATTGTTTTTCTTTAGTTTCTTACATTCTTGAATAATCTTCAATTTAACGGTATATTTACATAAAACCTTAACTTTAATTTGGTATCTCTAGTAAATTTGAACGAACTTAAAATCGGTTGTAAAAAATTTCAAGGCAATATTGATTGATTTTGGAAAAATCAAGTGCATGAGATTTTAAATAAGAACTATTTAAGATTTCGATAGATGTCTAAACTATCAAAACGATGCCGTAAACAATCAATGCAGTATTTAGTTTTTGTTGTGGTCTCAAAAATCGCCGCAGGCTGTGCAAGCGGGCGCCAATCTAAAACCTTTTCACTCAAATTTAGCTCGCGTGGAGTTGGAGGAAGTTACCAATACAAGCTCCGCCTTTGTGGGCGGAGTTGAATAGTTTGTCTGGATTGTTCCATTATTATAGCCCGCTGTCAATTACCTAAAGTAGCGTCAATGAACGACTCATACAATTGGTTAATTCTTAGTAGATGAGCGATCATCAAGTCACTGACGAAACATGGGCACAGTGGGCCGTATGGTGATTAGAGATAGGGACTAACACGGCAGACTACTTAGTGATAGAACCCTCCCTAGTAGCTAACATAGTTGATCAGTGACCTACTGAGGGGTATTATCCTTGTTCACCTACCACTATCAACACTACCACTTGAATCACTTGGAATATTAACACATGCCACAGCGTTTTCTACCTGTGCAAATCGTGTGGAAGATTAGTGTCGCTCCATAACTTGACCGGCTTGGTATCAACTTGTTTTGTACACAACTCATGCATGGTGCAGCCGCTTAAGTCTAAACTGAATGGGACAGATATAAACACCAGAAGTTATATACAACTGGTTTTGGAATTATAATACAGTCGTCTTCAAAGAATGTCTTCTTATCCACAATTTAGCTATCCGTTTTCAGCAACTTCACAGGTAAGGTTCACGGTTTCTTCTGATATATAGTTCTGATGTGGTATGT